ACATTTGAGCTGATCTATGGTCACAAACAATCACAGGCATGTGCAAGTCACACTCAACCACAGGCAGAAGGTTGCTGTGTTCAGGCAGCATCTACATGTCTTGGCTATCATCAGGCACCAGCTGAAAAAGGCACACCCCTACAACCTCAACATTGTCAAGGTATCCAGGCGCATTCCCTCCAAGAAGCATGCCAGCCTGATCACCAACTTCATCCACTCACCCCACACTGGGGTACTTCTACTCTCCACCAACACCTGCACTGTGGGAATCAACCTCCAGCAGGTGAGTGAGGTCATCTTCATTGAGTTGAGCTGGAACCCAGCAACTGACCGCCAGGCCATGTGCTGTGCATGGCGCTTCAGACAGCAGAACTCTGTGCAAGTGACCCACCTTCTCATCCACAGCACAGTCAACCAGCACATCTTGGCCACCATCACCACTTGCAACAGAGAAGCCAACAAGTTCAACAGCCACATCCAAACCAGTTGTGCCAACAAAGGCAACCACCTCTTCCATGTACCTCTCAGTGCATGGGCTGAAATGTCTTGTGCTTGGGTGAGGGCACATGAGGACCACAAGCTCAGCTACCTCCATGCCTGCACCAAACAATCTAGTGAGTTGCAGACTGCAGGTGCTGAGCAGATCTTTGACCACGAGTTTGCTGCATTGTAACTCCCATAAACACCTTTGACCTACTCATTACCTTCTCAAAAAGCCTGACCACAGACACCAGGGTCCAAATGCATAATGATGTACCTCAGATTATGCCTTTGATGTAACAAAAGGTACCTGAAGCACCACAAAGGCAGCAAAGGCACGCCTGTCCTGCCTGGCTACCCAAAGACACTGAAACTCACCTTAAATGCTTGAACAAGAACTTTGTTGGTTTGTGATGTATTTACACTGTATGAAATAAATAAAGAAAGTAAAACAAAATGTCAACACTGCACATGCTCACCACAGATGAGGGGTGCTGTACCTGATGAGTGTTATACCCAATGTAGAGTGGGGGACTAGTCTTATGCATGAAGTTCATATGTGCCTTGAACTTTAGCACCAACTGAGATGCTCCATCTCATCCCACTTGAAGTCACTTGCACTGGTTGCATTGCTGATGATTGCCCACAACTCTGAGCCACCCTCTTGTGGGCTAGCCCAATTGGGCAAGTTGGAGAGATACTTTTCATAGATTGATGATCTGTGAACAAGTGATGTCTTGTAGGAGATGATGCCTGGGCTGTGGACATCTGTACTCTTCAATGACGCCATGTAGATATGACCTGTAGAAGAAAAGCATATGAGATCAAAAGGGGTGAGTTTAGTGAGTAAGCACCTCTTTTTGCAGATTGGCTCAGCATGCTTGCTGCTGGGGTAGGTTCCTGGAGAAGGACACTTGCCTTGCACACCCTCTGGCTCCTCCTTGGTTTCTTGTGCGCCTCTTCCACCTGAGTCTGTTCATCCAAGGCAGAGGATTCATTGCAGGCAGGCTTGTGCTTTCACTGAGGTTGAGGTGAGTTGTCCTCACTCTCAGCCTCACCCAGGTTGAGTGGCCAGTTGAGAGAGGACTTGAGGGAGGATTGTTGTGATTTCAGCTCTCTTCTCTTGTACTCATGCTCATGCTCAGTGTTGCCATTGATGTACTCATGGCTGACATTGTCTTGTACATACTTGCACTCACACTTCACATTGTCTTGTAGGTACTTGCACTCACAGCTGGTGTTGCTGTTGATGTACTTGCACTTGCAGCTGGTGTTGCTGTAGAAATACGCATGCTCATGGCCAGCATTGCCATAGATGTACTTGGACCCACAGCCAGTGTTGCCATAGACATACTTGCACCTGTGCTTGCACTTAGCACTGTCTTGTATGTACTTGTGCTTGTGGCCAGCCTTGTTCCCTTCAGACCAAGAAGCAACACAAAATCATCTGCATTGG